ATACCACCAACTTTGTTCTTCTCAAGATTGCTTTGGTTATTTGGGGTCTTTTCTGGTTCCATACCAATTTTAGGATTATTTGCTCTAGTTCAGTGAAAAATGCCATTGGTATTTCAATAAGGATTGGACTGAATCTGTAGATTGCTTTGAGCAGTATGGCCATGTTGACAATATTCATTCTTCCTACCCATGAGCATGGAATAGGTTTCCATTGATTTGTGTCTTCAGTTTCTTTCATGGAAGTCTTATAGTTGTCAGGGTAAAGGGTTTTCACCTTGGTTAGATTTAGTCTTAGGTATTATATATTCTTTTTATATAATTGTAAATTGGATCAGTTTCTTAATTTCTCCTTCTGCTAGTTCATTATTTGTATATAGAAATGATGCTGCAGGTTTCTGAACACCGATTTTGTTATCCTGCAACTTTGCTGAATTCATCTATTCTAATAGTTTTCGGTTTAGTCTTTAGGGTCTTCATATATAGTATTATGTCGTAAGCAAATTAGTGACTGTTTTACTACTTCCTTACCAATTTGGATGCCTTTTATTTCTTGTCTGATTGCTGAGGTTAGGATTTCTAGGACTATGTTGAACAAAAGTGGTGAGAATGGCCATCCTTGTCTTGTGCTGGTAGAAGAAAAGCTTTCAACTTTTGCCATTGAGTATAATGTTATCTGCGTATTTGTCATATGTGGCCTTTATTATGCTGAGGTATGTACCCTCTATAACCACTTTTTGAGAGTTTATTGCATGAATGGACGTTAAATGTTGTCAAATGCCTTTTCAGCTTGTACTGAGATGATTACATAGTTCTTATCCTTTTGTTAATGTGGTGTGTCACATTGATTCATGAATATTTGAACCATCCTTGTATCCCTGGAATAAATATTTGACCATGGCGAATGATCTTTCTAAGGTATTTTTGAATTTGGTTTTCTCAAATTTTGTTGAGGATTTTTATATCTATGTGTTCTTCAGGCATATTGGTCTGCAATTTTCTTCTTTTGTTGTGTCCTTGTTTGGTTTTGATGCCAGAGTAATGCTGGCCTCATAGACGGAATTTGGGATCTTTCCATCCTCTTCAGTTTCTTGGAATAGTTTGAGAAGATGTATTAGGAATACAATAAATTCATTTCACTTCTATATTTCATCTGTTATATATATATACAGAGGTTCTAAGTTCATCCCTTGAGCATCTTTATAACTATTACTTTGAACTCTTTACCCAGTAGATTACTTAACACTGTTTCATTTAGTTCTTTTTCTGAAGTTTTGTTGTGTTGTTTAGTTTCAAGCATATTCCTCTGCCTCCTCCTTTTGTTTGAATTTCTGTGCTTGATTCTATGAATTGGTTGAAAGTGCTGCCCCTCCCAGTCTTGAATGACTGGCCTTGTGTAGGGGACGTCCCCTGGTCAGTCTGTGTGTGCCTGGTGGTCTGGGTGGCTGGCCGGAGGCCCAGTAAGTGTGAGCCAGGGCTGCCAGGGTTCTCTGTGTGGTTGGGGGGGGCCCGACCGGAGGGGCTCCTGAGTGGGTACCAGTGGGGTCCTCACTGGTGGGGAGACAGCACCCTGGTGTTGTCTCCAGGGAAGCCCCACCACTGTGCCTCCTGGCCTCTGGCCAGTAGTGAAGCAGCAATCCAGCACACTGTCCACGGCAGCCAGCAGCTCTGTAAGCACTGTGGAGCCGTGGGTGGCTTCTGTCTCTGGGCCCATGCTGCGGCTGTGGCTAGGCTGTGCGCGCCAGGTGCAGTGCTGGCTGGGGCACATTCTCCCAGCGTTGGCAGCGACTAGCTCTGGGACTGCAGTATAGCTGCTGTGTCTGGGCATGGGTGGAGGCTGGGAGGCCCCTAGACCCTGCTCCCCACATTACTATTAATGTGGGTAAGGTGTGCAGACAATGGCACTTGCCAGATCTAGAGAGAGTTCTAGTTCTTCCCCCACCAAATGGTAAGTGCTTTAGTTGAAGAAAAAAATTTTTTTTCACTTACAGTTTAAATGCCCTTTAATGTGTGGCTTTTCTTCTGTGCCCAGGGCAGGGAGTCTGCATCCTGGCCCCTCAGCAGTATCCGTCCCTCTGTGGGGTGTTGTGCTGGGGGTGGGATACCCTCATTACTGTGTCTTCAACTCCCTTGCCTTTTATAATATGATCTTCCTACTCCCTAATTGTGCAGGAGATGATCACCCCGTCCTCCGTTCTTCCTCAGGATGAATTGCTGTGTGTGTGTAGGTGTAGATTCGGTGTAGTTGGCAAGGGGTGGGTACAGGCTCTCTCTATGCTGCCCTCTCCTGCAAGTCCACAGATTGATTTTGAATCCTGAACCAGCCCCACGTTCCTGGGGTAAACTCTAGTTGGTTTTTATGTATGCTTTTTGTATGTTGCTGGATTTGATTTGCTAAAATTTTGTTAAAAGATTTTTCATCTTTGCTCATGATGGATACTGGTAGTTTCCTTACAATATCTTTGGTTTTGGTAACAGGATAATGTCAGTTTTATAAAATGAGTTGGGGAGTGATCTCTACTCTTCTGTTTTCTGTAGAATTGGTGTCATTCCATCTTGAATGTTTGTTAGATTTTACCAATGACTAGAGTTTTCTTGGGAAGAATTTAAATTATGAATCAGTTTCATTTTTAAAAACTGAAGTTAGTTGAACTACAACAGTCTATTGTTTCACATGTACATGATAGTGATTTGACAGTTATTTACACTAATAAATGCTCACCCCAATAAATGTAGTTACTGTCAGCATATTACAAGTATTATTGACTATATTCTCTATGCTGTACTTGTTTGCCCATAACTAAATCATATTATAATTGGAATTTCATGCTCCTTCACCATCTATTTCACCCCCTCCTCTCTCATGGCAACACCAGCCTCTTCTTTGTGTCTGTGAATCTATTTCTGCTATAGTCATTTGTTTTTAGATTCCACATATAATTGAGAACATATGGTATTTGTTCTCTGCCTGGCTCTTATCACTTAAGATTTAGCATAATATTCTCTAGGTCCACCCATGTTGTCACAAATAGCAAGACTTTCTTTTTCATGGATGAGTAATATTCCACTATATATATATATATATAATATGGATGAGTAATATTCAAAAGGACCATATATATATAGTATGGCCATTTTGACAGTATTCTTTCTATTCCTGAGTGTGGATTATCTTTACCTTTATTTGTGTCTTCAGTTTCTTTCATCAGTATGTTAATACAGCTCTTTTACATCCATTTTTAGGTATTCATTTGTAAATGGGATTTTCTTGATTTTTTCCTTCTGCTAGCTCATCATTAGTGTATAGAAATGCTGCAGATTTCTTTATATTGATTTTGTGTCCTGCAACTTTTCTGAGCTCATTTATTAGTTCTGATAATTTTGGTGGAATCATTATGATTTTCTATATGTAGTATCATGTCATCTGCAAATAGACGGCAGTTTTAATTCTTCCTACCGATTTGGATGCCTTTCATTTCTTGTCTGATTTCTGTGGTCAGGACCTCCAGGACTATGTCGGATCAGAGTGCTGAGCGTGGGCATCCCTGTCTTGTAGACGCTCCGAGAGGACGAGGTTTCAGCTTTTGGCCTTTGAGTAGGATGTTGGCTGTGGGTTTGCCATATGGCCTTTCTTATGTTGAGTTGTGGACCCGCTATGCCCATTTTGTTGAGAGTTTTTATCATGAAGGGTTTTTATGTTGAATTTTATCATGCTTTTTTTCAGCATCTGTTGAGATGATCATGTGGTTTTTATCCTTTTTGTTAGTGAGATGTGTGGATATTGTACCATCCTTACATCCCTGGAATAAATCCCACTTGGTGGTGATGGATGATTGTTTTGATGTATTTTTGAATTCGCTAATATTTTGTTGAGAGTTTTGCATCTATGTTCATCAGGTATATTCTTTTTTGTAGTCTTTGTCTTTGTCTTGTTTTGGTATTAAAGCAATGCTGGCATCATAGAATGAGTTTGAAAGTATTCCCTCCTCTTCTACATTTTGGAATTCTTTAATGAAATGTTTTGTAGAATTCAGCTGTGAAGCCATCTGGTTATGGACTTTGTGTTTTTGGGAGTTTTGTGAGTTTTTTTTGATTACCAGTTCAACTACTGGTAATTGGTCTGTTCAGATTTTCTCCTTCCTGGGTCAGTCTGGGAAGGTTGTACTTTTCTTTTTCATAGAATTATCTAATAATTCTTTGTATTTCTATGTTGTCAGCTGCAACTATTCCTTTTTCATTTCTGATTGTGTGTCCTCTCAGAGTACCTGCTCTTGGTTTCATTTTTTTCCCTGTTTGTTTCTGCTCTGATGTTATGTTCCTCTTTCTACTAACTTTGGGTTTCAACTTGTTCTTCTTTTTCTAGTTGTTTCTTTAGTTTTGAGTTTGTTCTTATTTCTCGAGGTAGGAGAAACTGCTGTGTACTTCCTTCTTAAAATTGCTTTTGTGGCACAGGAAGGCCTACTTGGGTCCAGGCACTGGTCTGCAGAAGGAATTTGCTGGGCCAGGGAGGCTGGCTGTGTGTGAGGGGTGGTAATGCTGCGAGGGATTCAAATAGATTTTGGAGCTGAAGTTGATAAGACTTTCTGATTTATCAGATGATGGGTTATGAGGCAGATGACAGCCCAAGCTTCTGACTTTAGCCTTACAGGAAAAAACAGCCAGCTGGGTGGTGCTGCCTGAGGACATTCAGCCTTGTGGCCTGTCAGCAGTGCTGCAGTCTGGGGGGAGAGCTGTGGTGCTGGGTGAGCCCACCTAGGGTGAAGAACTGAGGTCTAGGTGCTGGAAGAGAGGAGGCCAACCATCAGCCTCATCCTCTCTTGACTCTCAGGGAATGGAGCCATGGCCCATCTGGAGTCAACCTCCATGAGGAGCCTTAACATGCTTTTGAGTTGCAGCTTGGGCCACCTCCACATCACGGCCCATAACTAGACTCAGAGGCAGCAGAGAAGATGGCAGATTAGTGTACCAACAAAGTGGGGAAGGACAAGGACAGACATGCAGGTGCCCCTGAAGGCCCAAGGCAGGCGGTAGAACAATCCTCTTCCTTGGTGAGTGGCTCTTGTCAATGTAGGTCTGGCTACAGTGTTCCTGGAAAGTCTTGGACAGGATAGTCACTGTTGCTAGACATGTGTAACGCTCTCTTGGGGTGCTGAGCAGCTTCGAGCAAGAGGTCTGTGTGCAGTGAAGGAGGCAGGGGTGCTGAGCTGCTCTCACCCTGTTACAGGGCCCCCCCCTGGCTGTGCTTCATCCTGAGGGGCAAAAGGACATGTCTCATCTGAATTGCTTCCTGATGAACAGGGTGGATGAGGGGCCTGATGTGTGGGATGTGCGCTGGAGCCTCGCTGAGGCCGGGGGGTCAGGAACCTCAGCGCTCCTCGAGCCTCCTCAGCCTGGACAGAACACAGAGCATTGAGTGGCCTGTTATGTCAGTGACCAAGCCCCAGGGAAGGGCAGGGAGCTTGTGCAGGGCTTGCTCTGAGCAGGCCATCTACATGTGGAAGCAAGAGACTCCACAGGTCTCTGGCTAACATTTCCCCTGGTGGGGGGCAGTTTCTGAACCCCTGGGGTAAGACTTGGGTGGCCAGGCCCAACCACTGCTGCGGCTCTTCCTGGTGGTGCAGAAAAGAGCCTCCTTCAGATCTAAACTGGCACAATGACCCTGTTCTCCTGGACTGCGTGTGAGGAGGGCGTCCGGCACTGCAGAATATGAGTCTCAGATGATGACTTTATCAGCCGTCTGAAATCCTGAATGAAAATCCTGAATGAAAAGCTGCTCAACCTGCAGGGTCTGCTTAGTCCTGGGTGGAGAAACTCGAGAATGGGTTGGATCCCCTTGGGGCCTCGTGTCTCACAGCCTCCTGCTTTAAGGCAGGAGATCCTAGCATCTCCCAGAGTGGGTCTGGCTGTCCCTGGGATGCCATCTGCCCACACTGGTGGTCTTACCTCTAGATTTCATGAGGGAGAAAGATGTGTTTCTCCTCTGGTGTCCTCATCAGGGCCCTTTGAAGTTCAAGAGTTGTTCTGGTGGGACCCAAATGTCAGGTTGGCCTGGTGAGAAAGTGGTTTGAGCATCGAGTTTGCAAAGGAGGTCCTGGCCCCAGGAAGGGACAGCCTGCTGGCATATACCAAATAACTGTTGCCCCTAAAGGTACTCCCCCTGGCATGAGCTAGTCTGCGCTGTCCTAGACACCCAGGGACAGGTGGACTGGGAAGGTTTGCGTGCCAACTTGGTGTTCACTCCTTACAGAGCCACCCGGTCTGTTCCCCACTGGCAGTTTAAACCCGGGGCTCCAGCAGGAAGCACGAACCTGGTGCCTCTTTGCTGCTCCTCTGAATATTCCTCCCTCTTCCTCTGCTCCCTTGACACTGTAAAAGCAACGTCCGCTGATGGGGAAGGTTTGTCCCACATGCCCCACCCAGGGTTTGGAATTGCCTGCACCGTGTCCTATGAAATACCATCCTGCTACTTTCAGGGGGCCTCAAGGTCAGCATTAGCATAACACCTGTAGGCTGCTGTGTCTCCTACATGTTGAGGTGCTCCTGACTGGGTGACCCTTCTTGCCCGAATGAATCCATGTTCTTCCCTGTACCCTGAGGACGCCCAGTGGGGAGGACACAGCAGGAGTATTTTTCCAGTTAAGCAATTAGCTTGAAAAAGGATTATGCATCCAGAAGACCCCCCCACAGAGGATGTTTCTATGTCCAAATTGTGTGCTCTGGTGGGTCCTAGAAGGTGAAAGGTACCAAACAAGGTCTCAGTGCCCCACTTACAGGCTTGGGTGATGTTCCTTGTCCTGGTGAGCTGACTCTAGTCCTGGTGCTCCCATAGGCTTGGAGCCCCAGGTTCGGGCATGAAGGGGTGGGTCTGGCAGTGGAGACCCCAAGCTGCCCTCGGCTTGTTACAGTGGCTTCTCCTGGTCTGCAATCCACTGCCTGCCTAAAGGAGGTGACATGCAGCACGGTGGCTCCAGGTCCCCGACCTGTCTGTCCTTGGGCAGCCTGGTGAGCCTGCTGTGCCAGGAGTTGTCCGGCAAGGCTAGTGTGGCTCAGAGGCGTCAACTCAACCATTTCTTCTCAACAGAAACTGACGCTGAGGCCTTCTGTTGGCGTATGAAGCTGAATAGAGGAATTTTTACCCAGAAAACTCTGGCACTGGGGGGAACACTCCTCCAGGACATCGCCTGTTGAGAGAGAGGCCGGCGCCTGCCAGCCCCAGGGACGGCCCGCAGGTCGGGGCAGCTGAAGCACTCAGCTCCGTACCCAGGGCAGACCCAGACTCAGAGGTGCTGGTGAGGCTAAGAAACCAACATACTGTGTGTACTGCCCTCCAAGTGCCCACTCTGGGCACTCCTGCTGGGAACACCAGCTCTTTGCAAGGAGAGCCCCCAACTACAATAAAGTTAACAAATTTAGTCATTTACAAACCTCAAAGTATTTTTAAAATGTGGTTTGTCATGTACCCAAAAAAACATCAGGTTATGTATTTAAAAATTTTCAACCAAATATTGGTGACGGTGGGGAATCCCTGCCCAAGGACTTGGCAGCCTTCTTGGGTCTAATGGTCCAAGGCAGGTTTGGCAGGTTTTCAATCTTAGGGCATCCAGTGAAAACTTCAGCCCCCACGCAGGTGCATATAAACACACACACACAGTACAGCACAGTTTTATAAAAAGGCAACAGTATGATTCGTGCACAACCCAGTGTTGTTCAGACAGACAGCATCTCCAGTCCCCGGGGGCCTTTACTTGGACAGTTCCTGCCACGCCCAGACTGGGGCAGGAGGCATGTCCCGTAACTCTTGCCCAGACACAAGACTGTGAAGAGATTTTCTCTTCAACTTAAAATTTTACCCCCAAAAGAATTTCACTGAAATGAGGGTTGGCTCTATTCTGTGTAGCCCAAGTAAAAATACTATTAATTTCTAGATTTCATGGGGAATTGTAATTATTAGAACCCATGGATAGTGCTGTAGTTCTAATCACAAAATATAGACCAATGAATCTGTAATTTGTAAGTAAACAGCAGATCTAAGTTTACCTGTTGGGAGTGCACTGTCATTCCAGTTACAGCCGCCCTCAGCCTGACAGACACTGCCCACCTGAATGGTGCTCACGTAAACTGGCAGTTGCGTCCCAGGATGCCTCATGAGTAAGGTCCTCTCCCAGACAGCTGGACCTGCTGCCCTACCAGCACAATGGCCTCCTAGAGGCGTGACATCACTTGTACCAAAGCCTAACTGAACACAGACTCCATGCTAGTGCCTAAACCTCCCTAACCACAAGGTGAGTTTTCACTTGCCCTC